ACCCAGACTCCAGACCCTTCACCACGAAAAAATGATAACTACATTTGGACATTTTTAAGATGTTTCTTTCATAGGATATGACATTTCTTTCTTTCTTTTTTTTTTTTATCCTCTCCTGAGGATATTTTTCTATTGATTTTTAGAGAGCGTGGAAGAGAGAGGGAAGGACAGAGAGAAGCATCGATGTGAGAGAAACACATCAATTGGTTGCCTCTCGTAGGAGCCCCAACCAGGGCCTGGGCGGGGGAGGAACCTACAACCAAGGTACGTGTTCTTGGCCAGAATTGAACCCGGGACCCTTCGGTCCACAGGCTGACGCTCTATCCACCGAGCCAAACAGGCTAGGGCAGTAGTAACTACTATTTAATGTGCATTTACCATATATGAGATAATGCTCTAGAAACACTCCACAGTTAACACATTGAATCCATTATGCGAACAGAAAAATGGCTGAAGGATGCTAAATGGCTGGCCCGGAGTCTCACAGCCAGTAAGTAGCACTTCAATTCCAAGCCAGGGCTCTTCACCGCCACTCCACACCACCGCCTGCATTCTAAAGGGTCTCTTCACGGTGCAACAGGACCCCACAGGCCTCCCTCACAGGATGGACTGGCTGGCTACACCAGTTGGTCTTGATGATGGTGATAACGGCTCTGAAAGCAAGGACACCTCAAGGCTACAGGGCTTCCAACCACTGCCTTAAAACACCACTCACTCTGGGGAGATCTAGCCACACCCCTTTGTAGTAACAACCCACATACTTGTTCCCACATACAGGATGGGGTGGGAAGTGGGGTGCTGGTGGTGGTAAAACACTTGGGGCTGGCAAATCTTGCCTTTGCAGCCTTCGAATCACATCTGCCCCAGGGAAATGCTCAGTGGTAAAGGTTCAAGTGACAAGAGGCAAACAAAAAGCTACCAATTTTCCTTTCAAAGGCTACATTAACCTCAAATTTTTTTTCATAGAAAAAAGCACTCAAAAGAATAGGGCCCCAACAGGCCTCCCTCACAGGATGGACTGGCTGGCTACACCAGTTGGTCTTGATGATGGTGATAACGGCTCTGAAAGCAAGGACACCTCAAGGCTACAGGGCTTCCAACCACTGCCTTAAAACACCACTCACTCTGGGGAGATCTAGCCACACCCCTTTGTAGTAACAACCCACATACTTGTTCCCACATACAGGATGGGGTGGGAAGTGGGGTGCTGGTGGTGGTAAAACACTTGGGGCTGGCAAATCTTGCCTTTGCAGCCTTCGAATCACATCTGCCCCAGGGAAATGCTCAGTGGTAAAGGTTCAAGTGACAAGAGGCAAACAAAAAGCTACCAATTTTCCTTTCAAAGGCTACATTAACCTCAAATTTTTTTTCATAGAAAAAAGCACTCAAAAGAATAGAAGATCAAACCAAAAACAGCAAACAAACTAGTCCATGAGTTTTTTTCATAGAAAAAAGCACTCAAAAGAATAGATCAAACCAAAAACAGCAAACAAACCAGTCCACGAGTCATTGCACTCAGGGCAACTTTTTTTTTTTAAAGTCCAGTTTTCCTCCTAACAAACAGGAAATCACCCAAACCTGCACAGCCTGGCTCATGGCCCAACACCCCACCACGATCTTTATTCGCCTGCCATCCTCGGGAGCAGGGGAACGCATCCATGTGTGAACGCGTGAGAACAGGGGCTGCCCTGGAGTGAGGCTTCATGTGAAAACCAATAGAGATGTCAACAAATGGTGGGCCGCACCTTGGGGAGCCCTGTCCTTCTCAGCAGGGGACAAAACAGCTTTTTCAGATACAGGGCTTCTGGGTGCTGGGATGGCTCCGGTGCCTTTTAGGTTGCTACCTATGTGATCATGACCTGCCGGTCGGGTGTGGTGTGGAGTCACCTCCAATCTGTATTTAATTCTCTGCTGTCACAGACCAGCTTTGTGACCTTGAGCACGTTCCTCAACAGCTCTGAGCCTGTCTCTTCACCTCGAAAGCAGGACTAACCCTGACCTTACAGAGTTACAGGAGAATCTGAAAACCCTAAATCATTTACGGGGACCTTTCAGCTCAGTCTAGCACAGTGATGGCGAACCTATGCCACGCGTGTCAGAGGTGACACGTGAACTCATTTTTTTGGTTGATTTTTCTTTGTTAAATGGCACTTAAATATATAAAATAAATATCAAAAATATAAGTCTTTGTTTTACTATGGTTGCAAAAATTTTACTATGGTTGCAAAGATCAAAAAATTTCTATATGTGACACGGCACCAGAGTTAAGTTAGGGTTTTTCAAAATGCTGGCACGCCGAACTCAAAAGGTTCGCCATCACTGGTCTAGCACATGGCAGTCCATCAGCAGTTCCCTTCTCCTGCTTCTGGGGGAAGGTATCCGCTCACCAAATCCTCAAAACCCTGAAGAGAGGTGTCAGATAAGGATATTGAGTTGAGGCACCACAATCTCCTGTTTGTGACCAAGTGGAAGGACATGTGACTCAGCCCAGAGCTGCTTTAGCCAGGTCACCCAGTCCTGTTTCTCCTTAATATAAGCCGACAAGCCAGCTCTACTCATCCAACACACTTGGGAAGGTTTCAGACTCCAGAGGTCCTCTGAGGTGATGGTGCCCCGAATGACCTTGCTTTGACTTGTCCAATGCCTCAGACCTTGCTAGAGAACCGAGGCTAGGACGCCTTCCCTATTAGAATACAACGCACTTAGGAAAGCGACTTTGACTAGGCCAGCGTTGTAGGCCCAGGCCCAAGACACAGCCCCCCCAAAAACCACAATGCTTCCAGTTAAAGCTGGATCACAAAAAAGAAACTGAAACTATCAGCTGAGCTACACTTTCTTTCAACGGCCGAGAAAAATTCAAAGAAATGGCTTTGACGGGACCCCAAGAGGCATGCTTCTTGGTGGGGCTAATCATCGGCCGTGGCCTGCTCTGAGCCTCTGATATAATATGTACCCAACAAAAGTGGGACATCTCGGCCTCCAAAGGCTGAGAAGGGACTTAACAGAAATCAATCAAATCATATGTTAAAATATTGATTTATCAACCTTTCCATTTGCCCTGCCCCACCTCCTCAGATCCATTCTCCATCCTTCCCTGTCCTAATCCGTGCTCCAGGTTGACTCCCTCAAAACTGCATCACCTGGACTCCCTTCGCTGATTTCTGGTTGAGTTTGGCCAATGGAAGTCATCAAAGGAAAACAGAGTTTCCCGCTACCCCTCCCCCACCCCACACCCATCACACACACACACACACACACACCTGGGGCCACATTGTGCCTGCTTGCATCTACCCACTCACTTTCCCTAGACCAGTGATGGCGGACCTATGTTAAGTTAGGGTTTTTCAAAATGCTGGCACGCCGAACTCAAAAGGTTCGCCATCACTGGTCTAGCACATGGCAGTCCATCAGCAGTTCCCTTCTCCTGCTTCTGGGGGAAGGTATCCGCTCACCAAATCCTCAAAACCCTGAAGAGAGGTGTCAGATAAGGATATTGAGTTGAGGCACCACAATCTCCTGTTTGTGACCAAGTGGAAGGACATGTGACTCAGCCCAGAGCTGCTTTAGCCAGGTCACCCAGTCCTGTTTCTCCTTAATAGAAGCCGACAAGCCAGCTCTACTCATCCAACACACTTGGGAAGGTTTCAGACTCCAGAGGTCCTCTGAGGTGATGGTGCCCCGAATGACCTTGCTTTGACTTGTCCAATGCCCCAGACCTTGCTAGAGAACCGAGACTAGGACGCCTCCCCTATTAGAATACAACGCACTTAGGAAAGCGACTTTGACTAGGCCAGCGTTGTAGGCCCAGGCCCAAGACACAGTGGGTAAAACTAGATATTGATCTTTTTTTTTTTCCTTTATTAATTAAGGTATTACAAATGTGTCTCTATCTAAGCCTGCTGAGCAGCCCCCCACCATCCTCTGAAAGGACGTGACTCCCTTCACCGTGCAGGGTGCCCGGGTGCAGCCTTTTTGTGCCACGGGTCTGTAAGAAGTGGCTCAGGGCTCAGAATCAATCAGTGCCCTGCACGGCCGCCTGAGCAGCTGAGTTCTGACTGCTCAGTCTCACAGCTGAAGATCAGG